AGCAATTGAATGCACCAAAACATACTTGCTCTTCTTCCCAAACGATGAGGTGATGAACCAGAATTTGGCCTATTACACTGCTGTCCTGGGAGAAGACCTGGCCAGGCCCATTGAGCCCCGAAAGGTGGGTGACCACAGGGACGAGCCAGCATAGGATGGATTCTGTCCTTTCAGAGCTCCGAGCCCTGGCAGAGGTTTTGTGGGCTGATCTGGGTTGGGTTGCAGTGGGGACAGTAGGTGGGAGGGCTGCCCTGACCCACCCCTCTGCCCCTGGCCCAGGAGATCCAGGCATACCTCCAGCGGAGCCTCATGGAGAAGGAGCTGCTCTTCTTCAGCTACGACGTCTTTGGGATCCCATTTGTGGACCCGGTGAGTGGCACTGCAGCAAGGCTGGTGGCAGCTGGAGGGACGTGTCTGCAGGGAAGGGGGATGTGGTGTCAGAGGCAGGTCCTCATCCAGCTACTGATGCTGTCCCTGTGGCTGTAGGACACGTGGACGCCTGAAGAGGTGATACCAAAGAGGCTGCGAGAGAAACAAAAGTGAGTGTTTGGCCAATTGACACTGGGGGGGGAGGGGCAACCAACGGGGGCACCTCTCTGCCTTCCTTGGGCTCAAGGCAGCAATTGCAGAGGGAATTACCTGATGCTGGGGCTGGGAGAGGCTGCTGGAGGGCAGAGCCTGGTCCTTGGTCACGCCAAGCAGTTTGGGGTAGGGCGTGAGGGCTGCACTGAGATGACACCTTCACACCTCGGGCTTTGTCGGCAGCCCTTAGACACAACTTGTCCTGTCCTTGCCTTGGCATGCCTTCTTCCCGACTTGGGGACAGTGGGGCAGTGGAGCTGATGGCCACTGTGTGCCCAGGGTGGAGCGGGAGACAGCGGCACGCATCTCCGAGGAGATCGGCAACCTGATGAAGGAGATCGAGACGCTGGTGGAGGAGAAAGCAAAGGAGTCTGCAGAAATGAGCAAGTTCATCCGAGAAGGTGCGGGCAGCTCCGGGTCCTGGTGCCAGCCCCAAGTCCCTCAGCGCCGCCCCAGTTCCATCCGTACTCCCTCCTGATCCCACCTGTGCTGCAGGCGGCCCCTTGGTGTACGAGGGAGCCAGCGTCACCATGAACTCCAAAAGCCTGAACGGGTCTCAGCGCGTTGTGGTGGATGGAGTCCTGTCAGCTGAGGAGTGCCGGGAGCTGCAGAGACTCACCAACGTGAGCACGGGGATGCGGGGATGCCGAGGGGTCGCATCCTGTGCCTCAGAAATCAGGTGGGATAACGTTGGCTGGGCTTTGCAGGCAGCTGCCTCGGCAGGGGATGGCTATCGTGGGAAGACATCGCCTCACACCCCCAGTGAGACCTTCTATGGTGTCACCGTCCTGAAGGCCCTCAAGGTTAGCGTGGCTGCGGGCGCCTGGGGCTGCTGCCCTGCTGCAGCTGAGCCCGCGTTGCTGTCTGTCCCCCACAGCTGGGCCAGGAGGGCAAGGTCCCCCTGCAGAGCGCCCACCTCTACTACAACGTGACGGAGAAGGTGCGGCACATGATGGAGTCCTACTTCCGCCTGGAGGTCCCGCTCCATTTCTCCTACTCACACCTGGTGTGCCGCACAGCCATCGATGGTGAGCACGGCCCCGAAGGGCTGCTCTGCAGGGGGATGCAAAGCGCCTTCACCCTCTGCCCAGGACCCTTTCTGAGAAGGAATTGTTCCTAATGTGCAGGCTGAACCTCCCGTGGTGTAGCCTGAGGTTGTCCTGCCCTCTTGTCGTGTTGCTGTTACCTGGGAGCAGAGGCCAACCCCACCTCATCCCAACATCCATAGTGTTTGGAGACAGACCCTGTTCCCATACGGACAAAGTACTGATGCACAACCTCTTGTTCCACCCTAGAGAAACAGGAAGGCCGGAGTGACAACAGCCACGAGGTGCACGTGGACAACTGCATCCTCAATGCGGAGGCCCTGGTGTGTGTAAAGGAACCACCAGCCTACACCTTCCGGGATTACAGGTACCGAGGTGTCCGTGGGGCTGAGCTGCCCTTCGGAGGCTGTTAAGCTTAGCAGCCCCCAGGTGAGAATCAGGGCAGAAGGGCAGCCCAGCTCGGACTCTCTTGCCTTGGCCTCTTGCTGTGGTGGTGGGTCAGGGTTTGGGTGCTGGGATGATGGCTGTCACCCTGTTCCCTACTTTCTTTAGTGCCATCCTCTACCTCAACGGGGACTTTGAAGGGGGAGCTTTCTACTTCACAGAGCTGGATGCCAAGACGCAGACTGTAAGTAGCTGTGCTCCCTGGAGCTCCACACACAGCTGCCAAGCTTTATTCCATCCCTGGGCAAAGTGCTTTGTGTCAGTGCACGGGGTGAATGTGGGTTTGGGGCTGGCTCTCCCTGTGTCCCAGTGGTGCAGCAGAGTCTTTTCTTGCAGGCAGAGGTGCAGCCCCAGTGTGGCCGTGCCGTGGGCTTCTCCTCTGGCTCAGAAAACCCCCATGGGGTGAAGGCTGTGACCAAAGGCCAACGCTGTGCTATTGCCCTCTGGTTCACCCTGGACCCTCGGCACAGTGAGCGGGTAAGCACCTCACCGCGCTCCCTGGGCAGCAGGAGGGTCTTGGGGGCTGCCCTCTGTGGAAGGGTGTGACGTGAGCTCTGGCCCACAGGAGCGAGTGCAGGCGGACGATTTGGTGAAGATGCTTTTCAGGACGGAAGAGGTGGATTTGCTGCAGGAGCCAAGCACGAAGCAGGAGCCAACGGCTGCCACCAGCACTGCTGGCTTGCATGCAGCAGGGAAGGATGAACTGTGACACTCCTCATGCAGGGTCCCAGCCCTGCCAGGGCCAGCACCACCAGCTCCACGCCATTTAGGAAACAACTGCAGCCACCATGTGGCTTTGGCTGCTCAGCCCTGGGCTGCAGGCTGGGCCCTACTTTGTGGTGCAGCATGGAGAGCTCCATGGCTCCCAGCCCTGCTGTGGATCTGCCACCAATCTTGAGATGAGCATCCAGACTTTGGGGGTGGATAGGGGTGAGGAACGTGGGGAAAAGGGAGGGATGTTTTTTAGAGTTGAAGACCCAGTGCCATGGTAGCAGTGTGGGGCTGGGAGGGCTGGAGCCACACCAGACGTGCCTTTCTGCTTTGCTTGAGCCCACTCCCCACCACGGCTATTTAAGTGCCTTCTGCAGAGGACTGGTGAATACAGGTGTCTTTTCCAAAAGCCCGCCTGTGGGTGCATCCTTGCAGCCATCCTGGTGCCCAGGCGAGGGCAGCAGCCCTGTGCTGCTGGGAGCAGAGATGCTGGCACAGCATATCTATCCGTGCACACACAGCTGCGCTTTCTGTCCAGCAGCGCTGGTGATGGGGCACAGCAGGGAGCAGAGGTCATTGTCCCATGTGCCATGGCAAAAGCCTTCTGGTTGCACAGCCTGCAGGCTTTGTCCCTAGGTGCCTTTAGGACTCCTGCAGCTGGGGAGTGGCAATGCAACCCCTGCATTAGCTCTGCAACATCCCCAAGAGGGACGCAAAAGCTTCATGTTCGGGCCAGAAAGGACCTGGAGCCAGTGGGGGCAGTTCACCCTATTATGACACCCACTGTTGTGACTGGAGCTCTGCCCTCTCCCTGAACAAGAAGGACATTGAGCGGCAGCTGAACAGGGCAGTGAATTGTCCCCACACCATTACCATAACCATGTGGGGAATGCGAGCGCACGCTCTGAAACACCGCCCGCAAAACGCCCTGGACGAACAGGCAGAGGGGCCAGAGGGGTCAGTGCCCAGCACAGGGATGGCAGCAACGGGAGGATGGTTTCTCCCTAAGGGTTCCCTGCTCGCACACTGGTGCAGGAGCTGCCTGCTGTCCCCCAACCGTGGAGCTCAGCCTGGGGCAGGCAGCCAGCCCCTGGCCACAGCGAGCGTGAGCTGACTGCCGATGAGATGGCGGTTAACGATTGCCAGGGCAGCCAGCCCGGCAGGAGGGCAATGCTTGGGGCAGCTGCCAGCTCCCTGCACCCAGCAAACAGCCACCGAGGTCTCCATGTCACCGAGAGCTCTGTTTCACCAAGGGTTTCATGCCACCGAGGGCTCTGTGTCATCAAGAGCTCTGCACCAATGAGAGCTCCGTGCCACCAAGAACTCCGTGCCATGCTCTGTGCCACCAAGGATTCCACGTCATCAACAGCTCCATGTAACCAAGGACTCCGTGTTACTGAGGGCTCCATGCCACCAAGGGATCCATAGCACTGAGGGTGCCATGGCATGAAGAGCTCCATGCCACCAAGAGCTTCATACCATGAAGAGCTCAATGCCACCCGGGGCTCTATGACAGCAAGTAGTCAGTGCCAACATGGTCTCCATGCCACTGTGGATTCCATGTCACCCAGGGCTCCATTGCATTGAGAGCTCCGTATCACCAAGAGCTCCATGCAACTGAGTTCTGTTTCAACAAGAGTTCAGTTTCACCAAGAGCTCCATCTCATGGAGGGCTCCATACCACTGAGAACTCCCTCCCTCATGTCACCAAGAACTCCATACCACTGAGAGCTCTGTGCCACTAAGGGCTACACAGAACTGAGAGCTCCGTGCCATCAAGACCTCTACACCACTGAGGGCTCCATGTTACCAAGAGCTCCACGCCACTGAGAGCTCCAAGTTCCTCTTGGCACGACCAAATGCCCGCTGCCCTGCGTGCCCCCCTCCGGGCAGCACAGCACAGTGTGACACTCCTGCAACCACCCCTGCAGCAGCCCCAGGGGTCTCTGCTCCGATGACCCCGCGAGGGTTCACCTCCCCCACCCCAAAGCCTTCCCCACTGCACTTCGACCTCCCCGGGGGTCCCCATATCCCCCACCTCCCCAAGTGCCCATACGAATCCCTCTTTTCTCGGTGGACACCCACCACCCCGCTCCGCTCCCTGACCCCTAACCACCCACCTCCCCCCCACTGCCCCTCCAGCCCAGAGGAGGGGCTGATGGAGCTCGGGGCGGGACGTGGCGGGCACACCCCCGGGCAGAGCCGGGCCGGGCCGGGCGCAGCGCGGCGGCGATGGGCGGCGGAGCACGGGAGCTGGCGGGGTACCTGGCCGCGTTGGGCGGGTGGGTGGCGGCTCTGGCCGCCGCGGCTCTGCCCCAGTGGAGACAGAGCTCGTACGCCGGAGACGCCATCATCACGGCGGTGGGGCTGCACGAAGGGCTGTGGATGAGCTGCGCCGCGCAGAGCACCGGGCAGGTGCAGTGCCGCCTGCACGACTCGCTGCTCTCCCTCGACGGTGCGTACAGGGGGCGGCGGGCATCCCTTCCCTCGGCGCTGTGCCCCTTCCAAGGAGCTGAGCCAAACCCCGTGGCTTTGAGCCAACCCCTCCCCACTTCCCAGCCTGGGTCCGAGCCCCCTTAGTGCCCTTCCCGCTGATTTGAGCCATCCTTTGGGTCCCAGCCCTATGCCCCCCCCCCCCCAAGGTTTGAGCTCCCCTTCCCAGCTCTGTGGGAAGAGCCTACTTTCCCCCTGAACATCTGAGCCCAGTGCGTGTCAGAGCTCTCCTTGCTCCTCCCTGGGTCTGCATCCTATTGTGGGTCTGAGCCCCTTGGCTTCTCTTTGTGCTCCAGTCCCACTTTGTACCCACAGCTCGGAGCCCCGCTGTAGGGCTGAGCCCACCTCGTGACCATGGGCTTAAAGCCCTCGCCCTCCCCAGTCTCTGTGGGTTTGAGCCACACGGTGGGCATCAAATTTGAGAATGGCAGCTGCACAGTGGGGACATTGCAACCCTGGGTTGTGTGCAGTGTTGGGGACTGTCGTGCTGCTGCTGAAATTGCAGCCAGAAGAGTGTGGAGGGAGGAGGAAGAGCACAGTGGGGAGGAAGGCTGAGGCCCCAGTGCTGAGAGTGAGTCAAGCTGTCCTTGTTGTGCCATTGGTCTGCATCCTGCTGTGGGTCTGAGACCCTCGCTCTTCTCTTCGTGTTCCAGTCCTGCTTTGCACCCACAGTTTGAGTCCCAATGTGGGTTGGAGCCCTGCTGTAAATCTGAGACCAGCTTGTGCCCAGGGGTTTCAGCCCCTTTGTCTTTGCCCCCAATCCCTGTGGGTTTGATCCCAACAGTAGGTGTCATGTGGGGACATCACGACCCTAGGGCTGCGCACAGCATTTGGGGACGGTGCTGCTGCTGAAACTGCAGTGAGAAGAGCAGGGAGGGAGGAAAAAGAGCGTGGAGGGGAGGAAAGCTGGGGACCCTGGTGTTGAGAGTGAGCCGAGGTGTCCTGGCACAGTGCCCCAGGCACAGGAGCTGTGAGTGACCCTACACAGTGAGGACAGGGTTAAGGATAAGGTAAAGGACGGGGTGTTAAGGTCAGGTCCGTTCCAGTGGGAAGTGCCTTCACCTTGCAGTGCTGTGAGCAGCGTGTTTCCCCCTGCAGTTCACATCCAGACCTCCCGGGCTCTCATGGTTATTTCTCTCCTCCTGGGTTTCTTCGGCATCATCGTGAGCGTCGTGGGCATGAAATGCACCAAGGTTGGTGAGGAGGATCCCATCACCAAGAGCCGCATCGCTGTTGCTGGAGGTGTCCTCTTCATCCTCTGCGGTAAGCTGCTGGGCAGCTGCAGCCTTTGTGCCTCTTTGATGCAGAAAATCTCCAATAGCCTCTAACAGGAGGGAAGTGGAGCTGTTTGGGATGAGTTGGGCACTGCTGATGCTCGGTGTTTGACACCCAGGTCTGTGCACGTTAGCGGCCGTCTCCTTGTACGCCACGCAGGTCACCTACGAGTTCTTCAGTGCCAGCACTCCGATCAACGCCAGGTAGGAGCCCCCCGGGGACACCGCTTCCCTGAGCTCCTCTGCATCCCTGGGGCTGCCCTGCGTGGTAGGCGGTGGTGACACGCAGCCCCGCTGCTCTCTGCTTTCCCCATCCCCTGATGCTGTACCAACCCTCATCTTACCACAGGTACGAGTTTGGCTCGGCGCTGTTTGTCGGCTGGGGGGCTGCCAGCCTCACCGTGCTGGGGGGCTCCCTGCTCTGCTGCTCCTGCCCTGCCAAGGAGCGCCAAGGACAGCAGTACTACCGACAGTCGCAGCCCTCCACAGCCCGGGAGTACGTCTGACCCCAGCCCTGCCCTCCCATGCCCTCCCCTCCCAAGAGCAGGCACGGCCCCGGTGCTCCCACAGGACGCACAGCTCAAGGGCACCACCAGAGACTTTTCTTCTGCTGGGGACGCACCAGCTTCTCAGGAGCTTTTCCAGGTTGCAGCGCAAGCCTCTAAAACGGGCTGTTGGTCAGAATTCCCCGCATCCAGCACCACCAGGCTGCAGGGGCTGCACCTCCGCCCCCAGCCCTGCGCTACTGGGGCTGTGGGTGGCTGGGCCGTGCCCCAGTGCCTGGCGTGGGGTGCTGGGGGTGGGCTGCACAGAGGTGCTTTGTGCTGGGCCACCCCACTGCGTGCAGCCGTCCCCGTGTGCCCCAACATCTCCCGCAGCCTCACCTCTGGGTTTTCCTGGGAAAGGGCTGCTGCCTAGCGGTGCTGGAGAGGCTCAGTGTCCCCGTAGCCCAGCTTTGGTGGCTTAGGAAACATTCCTGCGTTCAGGGTGCAGGTGTGCTCTGCGTGGCTGCTGCCCCAAAGCGCTATTTGTATTAATCATTCTTGATGTGAGCACACGAGGAATGAAAGCACGGCGGTTTGGCGGTTGCTGGTGCTCCAGCTGAGCTCTGCCAGCTAAAATCTGACCCGGGTGTATTTCTCACCAGGCGCAAATATGTGGCCTTGTTAAGCAGGAGAACAAACTGGTGTCGGCCAGGTTAGAGCAGGCAAAATGGGGACTGTGAGCACAAGTAATGGTTTGTTTTTACTTCGGCGCCCAGCGTAGCTGTTTCAGTTAACTCCAAGATGAACAAACCTGTGAATTTTGATGTCTCCCCACTGTTTCCAAACGCCCCTTCCCCAATAGGACCGGTGAAGGCTTTTAGGCTCAGCTGTGCTAACTGCCACCACCTCTGTGTCCACGCCGCGGCTGTTACTAACACACCAGCGCTCCATTCCTCCCGTAGATCCTCGGAAGGCCTGGTGCTGCCATCTGTCTGTCTGCTCTACGTGGTATGCCAGCTAAACCGCAGGAAACGGCGCAGTGGAAATGATCCAAAGAGCCTGGCTTGGTGGTTTTGCCCTTTTTTTTTTAATTACTTTATAAATCCCCACATCGCTGATTTCTCCCTGCTTTTTTTTTATGGTCTGCTTTACGCCCGCGTGCCGCTCTTGTTCCTGGCTAAACGTGGCCGGTTGTCCCAAAATTAACAGTCGGGGCAGCACCTCCCCATGCAGGAGGGAAGCAGAACGGTCCCTGCACTGGGGGTTGGCTTCCGTGAGGCAGGAAGGACTAACAGCCATCTCTCTCTTTTGCATTGCAGACCCCATGTAAAAATTTCGTCAGCCATCAGGGGAGAGCAGTGCTTGTAGTGTCTGCACCGTTGGGGAGACTGGTGCTTGCTTTCCCCTCAAAACACACCCCAAAGCCACTGCAGTGAGGATTGGGAAGGAAAATCGTGCTTAAAAATAGTTGTATCTGAAGTGTGTTTTCATATACAGAGTGCAGCATTGTGTAGAAGAATGTTTTTATTCCTTGAAGGTAAACCTGCATTAACTTCTCTGTGCGACGCACACCGCGGGAGCAGCGCTGTTTGGGATTCCTATTTGTGGTGGGGTTTTTCAGATTGTTTGTACTAAAAGTTGTATTAAAATATTTCTGACTACGGGCGTCCGTCTGAAGTCATCTCAGCCTCCATCCCAACGGGCCTCTTCCCATCGCTCCCGTGGCAGCGCCGTGGGGCTGAGGCCTCATCCCCGGGCTGGGCAGCGGGTCTGGGGAGGGAGGGAGGGTGGTTTGGGTTTGGGCTGAAGGCTGCCTGCTGCTGGCTCCCAGGCCAGAGCCCCCTGCTCTCAGCCCGCTGGGAGGCACTTGAGAGAAGCGCGGCTGCCGGGAGCCCACCGGCTTTGAGCCGCTGTGAGGCAGAACTTTGCAGGCGTGCCCAGCAGGTGCTGTCGCTGAAAGCGTGGCTTAAAAGGTTGCTTAATTTCAGCCTAAAGCACCTAAATCCCATCTGGCTGGCCTGGCACCGCACCCCTGCAGCCACGTCCTCAGCAAGGCCCTTCTCAGACCGCAGTCTGTCCGCCCAGCGCCGCAGCCCCCCATCGCCTCCCCATCGCCTCCCATTGCTCCGCTCCGCACAGAGCCCTCGCTGCGGTCGCCCTGCTGTGTGCGAAGGGCAGCCGCAGGCTTTAATCCCTTTTCCAAGAACCGGGCTGCTCCTCGCTGTGCCAATTGAGTTGATTTCTGCTTTTGCGGCACCTGCTTTTCCTTGGCACTGCTGGAGGCCCAGGGTTTTGCCCAGCTCCCCTGCCTTCCCGCAGCCCCTGGCTCGCAGATATCTTCTGTTCTCCCCAAAGCTCTGCCACGTTGCCGCAGGCTCGGTCTCATGGCATCAGCCGCCCAGGCTGGAAGAACATAACAGAGGGGGAAAAACAGCTGATCTGCAGAAGCAATTACATGTTTGGGGGCACAAAGGCCCCCACTGTCCTCCAGACAATCCCTTGTGTGTTTTGCCCATGGCAGAGTGGAATTAAATATGGGAACGGGCTGCCAGGCTTGGGGTGGCCCGCAGCGTTGCATGCGATGCGTGGGATCTGCTGCCATCCAAACCGCTAAAAAGAGCGCTTTGGTGGCTTTCTGTCCCCACTGCCTCTTTCTTTTCCTCTTACAAAACCAGTGTGATGCAGATGTGATCTTCATCTCATCTTCACTGACCGAGGAAATGTTCTTAACTATTGAAAAACTGACACATTTACCCCTCCACCTGTATCTTTCCAATGCCCCAATCAGAATCAAACAGGTGGGCTCATTTCATATACAGTAAATCCACCGATTAGAAGAGTAAAAAATAAAAACAAAACTCTTTTGCACACCACCAGTGCCTACGTGTGGAGAACATACCAGAATTCCAGCCGTTTCGTGGACATCTAAGTACCACCAATAAAAAATTCCTGAGATCGGAGTTGGAAAATGAAGGTATACAAACCCTGCTGGAAGATTTCAGCCCCTGTGCACCACTACATGCACAGGTATGCTGGAGAAAAGTCTTGCCATGAGCCAAAATACCACGTGAAACAGGATAATGTGAAATAAAGCCACAGCAATCACTCACATCAAGAACCTGGGTGCCTCTGCAGGGCTGAGCCTCAAGAATTTGAAGGAGTGTGCAGCGCTCTGCCAAACCCCTGTGGTTCAGTACTGCAGGGGATTATTTAGAGGGGAAAAAAAATAATAATAAAAGTGCCTCTCTTAAATATATCCCCCATAACTTGGAAATACATACGTGGGGTGTTGTTTCCCACTGACCCACAGAGGAGAGCACAGATACAGCTGACAGCCGTGAGGCACTGCTTATGCTGGAGATGCTCAGAGGTCACTGTAACAAGATGCTTTGCAAGAAAGCAGTTTTTCTGGGTAGTAAGGAACGAAACTGAAATATTTGGGCTGCACGAGGTACTGAGGTGCTGCTTTCGAGGGTCAGCAAAAAGCCCACAAAAATGCCTCTGGCCAAGCAGCCACGTTTCTGAGCTGGAAACCACTGGAGAGGAGTGACTGTGCATAATGGCCTGGGAGTCCCCACACAGCCTGGAAATGGACGAGTTTTACAGGCTGCATTCAGTGCCCCTGTGAGGCTGTGTCCTTTACAGCCTTTTCCTGCATCCCTCCCTTGAGAGCTGTGAATTCTGGGGGAGCTGCAGAGGTGATCGCAGCCCTCTTTGAACCCCCAGGATCTGTGAGAGGCCCCATCGAGGCGGCTTGTTTTGCTGCCTCTGGGTTGACCTCTCAGCCAGTTTGAAAGCTATGAGATGTCTTTGGAAAATGGGAAATGCTGGACCATCTCACAGCTGGGAGCCCAACGGACAGCGCTAAGGGTTTTGAATTGCCCTCCCTGCAACAAGCTGCATTCTTCCTCCTGCCAGCCCTGTCTGTCTGCCTCTGCTGCACCAGAGAGTTGGAACCAACACACCTCAGGCCACTCGCCCTTGAGCACTAATTAAAAGGTGTGATTAAAGAACAGGGGACGTTTGCCCAGAACACAGAGCCCCCCACCTGGGCAGTGTTTCTCCACGTCTCCACGGCCCCAGCTGGTTCCAACGGGTGTCAAGATGTGATGTTTTTTGGAAGCCAGTCTCTGTTTGCAGCCAATTAGCGTTTAACCACGATGCTCCCTGCTGAGCTCAGCACACAGAGCGCTCTGACATGCCCTACAGAAGCATTAAATAGCCCAGCACAGATGTGGGCTCACAGTGCTCCATGGGCATCGCGTTTCCATTGGGCACCTCCGCATCCCATCCAGGTGGGACTGAATCCCACTCTGGGACTTCAGATGGCCGCAACACAGTGAGGATGAGCCTGGATGCTGCGATGAAGGTAAGGCTTCCAGTTGGACTGGACTGTGTGCAGTGCTGCTGGTAGCTGGATGGTTGGACCGGATGATCTTAGAGCTTTTTCCTCTCTCCATGATTCTATGATTCTGTGTTCTAGAGGAGGGCAGATGCATCCAACAAGCGCTCCCCTCACAGCTCCCCTTTGTCCCAAACATCATTAATTCCCCATAAAACACCTCCAAGCACAACAAAACCAGCAGCTCCACCACCTGCTGCACCAGCCAAGGCTCCAGCAGTAAAACTAAGCTGTTCTGGAGTTACCCAAGCACAAACAATGACTGAGCGTTTCCTCTAGAGAAGGAATTTTTTTGTTGGGTGTTTTTTGTTTTTTTTTTTCCCCTGATTTAACTCAAATGGCTGAACAGATTTTCTTCAAAGCCTGCAAAACAGCCAGGGTCTTGGGGAAGGAAGAAAGATTGCGGGGAGCTGCTCAGAAGGTGGCTTGGGATGTTTAAAAGAGCATTATAAGGTGAGGTCTGTCAGTAATAATGTCAGTAAGAAAGGGTAAAAAACAAACCCTGAGGGTTTGAACCTCTGCACACAGCGGCTGCAGTTCAGGCACTGAAGCATATGGCAGCACCAAGGCTTGGGCTGCAAAACACACTGAAGCAGGAGTCTTCTCCAGCCCTTGGAGATGTGATGCCCTCCGCTCAGACCTGCTGTACAATTGCTTTCTCTGCGAAGTCCCTCAATTCTGGCAGTGCTGGAATTCACATGGTTCCGTCCCCTTTGCTCTCTGGCGATGCTCAGCAGCACCCAAAGGCACCACATGGAGGCACAGCAGCCCTCTTTACCACTTGAGGATCGGACGCTCCTCGGGACACCCCCACGTGCTCCAGTTTGGGTGTTCTGACACTTCACAGCTTTTCTTAAAAAGGAATTAAAGGAAAAGCAGGTAATCTTTTCACTGAACGATGAAAGCATCGAGAAAATGTTAGGATCTCAGGAGATACGTGCTCCAATAATGGGGTCTGACTACAGAGGCTCTTTGACAATAGTTTCCAAGCACCTCTTGATTCCCAGAGGGGCAGCACTGAGGGTTATGGAATCATCCAGTCTGGAAAATGCCTTCAGGGTCACCGAGCGAAATCATGACGTTCACCTACAGGTCCTGTCACTGAACTGTCCCTCAGTGCCACATCCACATGTCTGAAATGCCTCCAGGGCTGGGGACTGCAGCTCTCCACCGGGCGGCCATTCCAGTGTTTGACCACACTCCCTACAGAGAATTCCTTCCTGATCTTCCATCCAGCCCTCATCTGGCACAACTGGAGGCCGTCTGAGCTGCTCTTAGGGATCCAGGCACTGTGGCCCAGGCAGTGGACAAGGCAGTGGGAGGTGGCCAGAGCAGAGGCAGCAGGCATCTCCATGTTCCCTTGCAGGTGTCTCCATGAGTGCAATCTTGCAGATGACAGCATTTGGTCTCGCTCTCCTCTCAGCCCTATTCCTCCTCCTTGCCACATGCACCGACTGCTGGATGGTGAATGCTGATGACAGCCTGGAGGTGAGTAGAGCATCCGCGTGTTCGTGGCTGAAAGCTAGGTGAGGGCCTGACGGTCTGCTTTGCTGGGCTGGTTGTAGGTGTCCCTGTTTATTACAGGGGAGTTGGACCAGATGGTCTTTTAGGGTCCTTTCCAACTCACTCTATGACTCTATGATCCCTGGGGAGCAGAGGTGTTTTAAGTGCTCTTTGAGCATCCTTTCTCCTGCTTCCAGGTGAGTCACAAATGCAGGGGGCTTTGGAGAGAATGTGTCACCAACATGCAGGATGGGGTGAGGACCTGTGACCAGTATGACTCCATTTTGGCAGACCATCCAGGTAGGACAGTATGGTCTGGGGTGGGAGCATTACTGTACAGTGTCAAGCAATCCATTTCCAGCACCATTTGCCTATTCCACCAAGTCTCTTTAACCTCTTGTGAACACCCAACAAGGCATCTTTGAGTTCACAGCTAAGTTTTCCCTTGAGAAAAAGATCCTCATTGTGAAGGGTTGGCCTTGATGAGAAACTCAGGCCCTTGTCCTGTATATAGAGAGAGTGACAACGCAGGATAATGTGATTCTGTGGACGAAGATTTGGACACTGAAGAAGGGAACCAGAAGTTAGCATGGACCAAGTGGGGATTCAGGGCTTTTCAGGGAGAAGCCACAAACAGATGGCAACATGTGCAAGGCTCAGACAGCAGCATCTTCTACCTAAGCTAACATGCAGGGTAAGCCAAGAGGGTCTTGAGAAGGTGACCTCATCCCAGCTCCTGAATGGCACAACTTAAGTTGTGTGGTTTCTTGATAGCGGACTTACTGAGTCCCATTGCAAGGTTTCTGATGAGCCTGGCAAGCAGCACAAAGGGTGGTGGACACTGGTGTCCCCGTGTCACCGTATCCTATAGAGATGCCCAGTGATGATGGAATGGCTTAAGTTGGAGGGGACCTAGCAGGTCCCTGAGCTCCTACTGCCTGCCCATGAGCTGGGTTGCCAGCCACCACACCAGGCTGCCCAGGACTCTATCCAACCCGATCTAGCAGTGAGCTGGGTAAGTCCAGAAGGGACAGGCAGCAGTCTGGAGAGGGGCACCACTTCCTCTGACCACCCCGTAGTCCCCTTTCTGCTTTTTTGTTCATTTCTCACCAGTGAAGATCGTGGTGACGCGGACGCTGCTGATCACGGCGGACCTCCTGGTGGGCCTGGCTTTGGCTACTTTGCTCCTTGGGCTCGACTGCATCAAGTTCCTCAAGGAAGAACCTCGTGTCAAACTGAAGATGTGCTACGGGGCTGGTGCCATCCTCGGCACTGCGAGTGCGTGGTCAGGAGAACCCGGGGACAGCTGGGACACAGGGAGACAGAGGCACCCTTCAGAGGGCTTCTGGGAAGTAGGAGGTTCTGCGGCTCGCTCTTAACTGGCCCCATTCCTCCTAGGTATCCTGGGTCTCGTGGGCTCCGTGTGGTATGCAGTGGATGTCTACGTGGAGAGGGCCATGCTGGTGTCCCATAACCTCTTCCTGGGGGTCCACTATGACTTCGGGTGGTCCTGCTGGCTGGGGATGGCTGGCTCAACGGGCTGCTTTGTGGCATCCGTCCTGCTCACCTGCTGCCTCCATGCCCACACAGGTCAGTCTGTGTTGCCCCAGGCTGCCCCATGGAGTCGTGCAGGGATAAACCTGGGGTGGACGACTCAGAGGGTGCAGGTGCTTCTTGCAGGCTGCAAATGAAGGGCAGTTGGCATTTGCACCCCGGCTGGGGGATGGGAGTGGGGGCTGCATCATGCCATGCAGAGCCCCATAGGTCCCGTGGGGGCACAGGGGGAATGCAGAAATGCTCCACCCCGGCCCAGGGCATCTTGAGGTCCTGGTGGAGGTGTCAGCTGGCCATCCAGGTTCATTTCTCTCTGTGTGTCACCACGTCCGTGGCACAGCCATGCGAGGCGACACACACCCTGAACGGAGTGCTGTCTCTCCCACCAGCCCCCAGCCATCCTCAGGGACCTCAGCGCCGTGTTGTCACCACCAAGATGTACACCATGAACTCCCGTGTGTGACGGGCAGCAGCAGCTCCCACACCCAGCCAAGGACAGCCCCCCTCATCAAAGCACCGTCACCCACAGGGGCAGCTCAGCGACGTCACGATAAGAAGATAAAATGTCAAGACAAGAAGCCTTGGGGAATGGAATCGTTTGAGTTGAAAGGGGCACTTCCAGGTCATCTCTTCCAACTGCTCCGCAGTGGACGGAGCGCCTTAAGCTGCTGTCGTACCCTGCAGCTGTACCAGCAATGCTCGATGCCTCTGTGGGAGCAGCACAGCTCTGCACTCATTGCCGCATCGCTGCTGTGGAGGAATTCAGCGAAAAGCTTCATCAGCACAGAGCAACACTGACTCCACGTGGCTGCCGGGCCGGCTGTGCAGCAGGCAGGGTGACGCTGCAGCTGCAGCCCGGAGCAGTGATCCTTGTGCCGCTCCATCGCTGCACACAAAGCAGCCTGAAAAGTAACAGGTGCTCCTTCAAAGCCGGGTGTTGAAGCCCACACGTAAAGGAGCGTTTTCCAAATTAACCATTATCCCTCTTCACTCACAAACCGCTCTGAAAACCACAAACCAACACGCTCCCCATTGCTGAGGTGGATCTGCCTTGATTTCAAGCTCAGCTTATAACCCAAAGGAAGGGAAAGGGAGAGGGAAAGCCTCGCGGCCCTGCAGTCACCGCGAGCTGCTGTGCAACAGCTCCGCGTTCAAAGAACGGCTCCTACAGGAGGAACCCGCCGCTCCACTGGCAGCTGGAAACGCTGAAAGGCACAGAGATAGGGCACAACCCAGCCGCACCGGGCTGCTAATGGCTGGTGCTCGAGCACACAGGAAAGCAATTAAGAACAAGCATTAGCATGATAAAAGCAGAGCGCTCATTAGCGGGTAGAAAGGGAAGCCGCAGGTCGCGCACAGCTCGGCGCTCAGGCCGTCAGACCCAGCGGCACTCGCTGCGCTGCTCCCGGACTCCGCAGCCGCTCGCCTGTGGAAGCGCCGCTTCCTCGGCTGAGCCAGGAGCAGCAGCGCCCTGCACCGCGCCAGGAGAGGAGCGTTTCCCCTTTCCCGTCCCCAAAAGCTTTTGGGAACAGTTTGATGACCTCAAGCACCTCCTCACCCCGCAGCTTTTACCCCCGAGCAGAGCCGAGGGCACAAACCCAGCAGCGCAGGCTCTGCAGTTCCAATATTCAAATACTTAACGCTGAACAATTAAAGCAGTTTTTCCCTGCTGTTTTTTCTCAGCTGTTCTCACAGAGGTGGGTTTGAAAGAACCAAGAGCACGCTGTCATTAACTTTAAGACCTTTATTAACAGATGCTTGCAGTTTGACTTGAAAAAATCAGGCGTACTTTTCATACAAATTAAAAATGAGGTTCTTAAAAATCTCAACTTGACCAGATATGAAACAATTTAAAAACCTTTAAAGGTGTATTGAGAAAAAACAGACTTTTAAAAAACGTGTTTATTGTTTCCAAAAGGAGACTTCTTTAGGTAAAAATAATAAAAACCCCATGCTGCATAGATAATGCAGATAGTTCTAGTAATCTGGTCAACAGCAAAAAGCAAGCACTTAAGGTCTTCAGTTCCAATTCTTTTGTTCATTTCTTATTGCTGGAATTTCATTTTCTTTTCTTCTTCATTTCTTAAGTCTTTTCTTTGATGACTAAACTGAAAGAAAGAGAAATAAAGGCCCATCAGACACATCATGGCACCGAGGCGTTCAGCTAGAGGCTCGCCTACAAGTTACATTCATGCTGCTTTCACACACACAAATCTCCAAGCACAGCAGCCTGCTGCGCAGGGATGGAAGCTGGCAGCTTCCATCACAAGTGAGCGCAGAGGAACCCAGGACAAAGCACTCCTCACCCCCTCAGCAGAACCTCGCGGCTCCATACAGGCCTGCCTGCTTTGAGAGCAAAGAGCCAATGACTACAGAAGGCAGAATGAGCAAACAGCTCTGATTTCCGCAGGGACCTCCGTGCGCTGCAGGCAGCCCAGCAGCACCTCAGCACAGCACTGAGGTCCCTGCAGAACACACCTCCCATTGCAGCCCCTCCACCACCATTTCCAGCCCTTCCAGGGTGAGAAGCTCCTACGAAAATGCTGCAAATTCAACATCTATTTACAAGAAACAGATGTGTAGAGGTGGAAAAGCCACACAGGGCAACCAAAGCCACAATGCTGGCAGGCCTGAGTAATATCTAGTGTCTGTGCACACCTGCACAACTTTTTCAGGTCACCATACCAGCATCAAAATGCTTCTTGTGGGTGAACTTTGATAGCAGAGAGCAATTGAGGCTTTAAGGTTAGCAATATTCATTCCACCAGGGAAAATTAAAGCCTGGTAGCAGAGCCCTCCCAGTTACCCAGCACTCGCACAGCAAAAGCTCACAGCTGGCACTGCAGAACCAGCAAGCAGCGCAGCCACTTCAGCTGCAACAGGCACAGCACCACTGACACGAGCCTGCAAAGCACAGCTTGGAAGGCAGCGCCCAAGACAAAGAGATCCCTGCGTCACCTCGCGCCCAGCAGCCCGGCGCTCACCCGGATGATGGTAGAGATGTTAAGCCGGCGTTTACTCAGCCCCGCCCTGCTCGGCCTCGGGAGCGGACGTGTTCTCAGCTGGTGGTTCGGCTGTCTTCGTCTCTTTGCCATCTTGTGGTTTAGGGTTCTCTGGGCGTCTGCGTCTGTAGTTGAAGTTACGACGGTACCGACGTTGAGGTGGCTGCTGACCTTGGGTCTCGTCCCCTTGGTTCTCTTTATCTTCTTCGTTTCCATCCTCTCTAGGCTGTCTTTGACGAGGAGGACCCCTGAAAGTCAAGCTGGGCTTTAACCATGCAGCATCTGAGCGCCGCGGCGTTCCGGCCGTGCTGCTAGAGCACGAGGCGACAGCGAGAGCCGGCCTGCAGCATACCTGCGGAATCGTGGTCTGTAACCCCGATACATGTTCTGCCTGACTGGTCTGCCTTGCTCTCCTGCACCTTGGTTGTCAGCACCCTGGAAGACACGAGGCAACAAGCGCTCTCAGCCAGGCAGACAAACCACACTGAGGGCTGCGAGGCGACGGCGGCCTCAGTGCACGACAGCGGCGCTGCAGAGCTCCTCTGCGCCCCATCACTCCTAACAAAACTTAACACGCATCCCAGCGCGCGGCCGTCCCACAGCTGCATCCAACAGCTGCGTTTTATCTCACTGCTCAGCCTTGCAGAGCACATCTCCAGCATCTGGAGCAGGGTGATAAAACGCAGCCCTGCAAAGGAACCACATCTTGTGCGTTACCTCCACTATCTCTCCCTGCACGGGAGGGTTGGAATATTGCGGTCGACGCCCGTAGGGCCTACGCATGTAGTAAGGTGGGTACCGCCGCCTGCGGTAGGGACGGCGCTGCTGGGCTTGGCCTTCCGGGATGTTCTCTGCTCCTTCGTTCTTCTCCCCACTCTCACTGTTCTGGTAGTTTTGCTGGTAGTTGCGTGGAGGACCCCTGCGACGCGGATATCGTCTGTAATGGTTACGGTCTGCTGCGTATTTGCTGCCTTGCACTGGAACGCCACCAGGCCCTGTCACGTTCGCTGCCTCCGCACCCTGAGGAGCACAGAGAGGTCAGGTAAGCAGCGAGCAGCAAACCGGAGCCACTCGGTGCCCACCTGCATCCCATCTGTAAACCATTCATCTCCCCGGATGCCATTGGGCGCCTGCTCAAACCACAGCACCACAGCACAGCCCGCAGAGCTGCTCCTGCACGCTCCCAGAACACCCAGAGCTTTACCTTCTCTCCTTCAACCACATCAAACTCCACGGTCTCTCCGTCTCCTACGCTGCGGAGGTACTTCCTGGGGTTATTCTTCTTTATGGCAGTCTGACAACAAATATGGCAAAGTTACACTCACAGGCACAGCGGGAAAACGCTACTGAGTGAAGTTTGTGTTGGTGTTCTGGGGGAAGGAATCTAGCTGTTGGTTTGTTGAGGCATCCTCGTGGACAAGCAATTAAGCCACAGTGGAAACTCAAAGCCAGAAGATGTGTGTGCTTCACTACAGCTCTGGCCTACCTGGCGCAGCCTTAAAGCTGTCCTGGAATGTCTGCCCACATGCTTCCAGTTGGAGATACAAAGCAGCCCCCCAAAAATATCAGAAGTTTCTCACTAAGCGCTCTGTGTGTTCTTATTAGGTGCATGCACTCATTACAAGAGCTTATTTGGGGTTATTTCCTACGCTGCTCAGCAGCGGATTGCATTTCTGACAGTCGCTGAATGCTCTGTAAGCACAGCTCTCAGCTACATTCTACTCAGCAAACACTTTTTAATAAGTGTCACAACTTCACAAATTAATGTCAGCAACAGAATTCAGGTCCATTTGTTCCCTCAATGGAATAAAATCCATCAGAAAACACGTCCACACGTTTCAGCATGTAAGCAGTGATTTTAAGGGAGACACAGGAAACCTCACTGCCACAGCTGAGCACAAGGTGGGAAAGCAGCCTGCCTGATGTGCAAACCCAGCGGGAAGTGCGACAGCCCCGCTTTGCCCTCCACCCCACTTGGCTAGGGGCAGGCACAGCACATTTCAGCTCCCAACACATCTTACCTGATGGACAAACACATCTTCCTTGGTGTCATTCCTGCAAGACAGCACGAAACAGAAATTCAGACGTGAGACCAGCAGCGCGCTGGCCCAGTTTGAAATTCAGATACCTGGGACAGCACAGTGGAAGATGTGACATCACAGGCTATGAAAAGCAGCATGCACGGCCTGCTTCCCCAGCTCCACTTCCTGCAGGCCGCATCCATGAGCACTCCACAGGGCAGCAGCGCGGCTGGCAGGCAGGGGGGCACAGGGAGCTTCCTGCTCTCAGTTACTCAGCACAGCCCCAGCTGTCCTCATGCTGCTGCAGAGCCGCGCTCACCATCACAGCCTGCCTGCAGCCGACCCTCAGGCTCACATCGCAGGGCTGAGCCTCGCCACAGCCTCACTTCAAGTCATTGCACAGACCAACACCGCTGAGTGCCTTTCATTTCCTATGATGC